CACTTGTTCAAAAGCCTCAGTTAAAAGCAGTGTTGGAACCCAGGCTGATCTACCTCAGAGGCTTGCAGCTGTCCAGGTATTGGGCTACATGGAGTGTCTGAGTCTGTCACTCTTACAGGATGACAGTAAAGACAAAATCTGTGTGTGCTGCGACAAGGTAAATTATTTGCTCAGCCTGGTTGCTGAGCTTAAGCAGGAAGTGGAGAGGTTAAGGACCATATGGGAATGTGAAAGGGAAATAGATTGGTGGAGCTGCGCCCTGCTATCCTCAGGGAAAAGGCAGCAGATGGTAGCTTCACAAGAGGTAGAAGATGCCCAGCCCTTTTGTCACCAGGTGGAAGGATGGGAAGTGGGAGAGGATGGGGGGTGGAATGTAAGCAGGTCCCTGCTAAGGGTAGCAGAAGAGTTCTCACCGGACCCTTCCCACATTCCCAGGTACCCTTTACAGAACAGATACAGGGCTCTGGAGATAGGGGACCAGTCAAACAGTGATGCTGAAGAAGCCCCATCCAGGAAGCTGCCAAAGCAGCCAGCTTGATGCAATAGGACAGCTCCTGAGAAGTTGCCAAAGCAACCGGCTCCTTAGATTAGAACTGCTTCTGAAAAGAGCAAGAGAAGGATGATAGTGATAGGTGATACCATTCTGAGGGGAAATGAAGGTGCTATATGCCAGCCAGACCCTTCCCACAGGGAAGTCTGCTGCCTCCCTGGAGCCAGGGTAAGAGATATAACCAGGAAACTTCCTGGTCTGATACGGCCCTCAGACTATTATACTCTTTTGATCTTTCAGGTAGGTAGTGATGAGGTGAAGAAAAGAGTTTGAGAGTAATAAAGATTTTAGGGCATTGGGGCGACTGGTCAAGGGCTTGGGTGCACAAGTTGCGTTCTCCTCTGTCTCTAAAGTCTTGGGGAATGATGAGAGGTTTAACAGGAAGACCTCGCAGATCAATACCTGGCTCTAAAACTGGTGCTACCAACAGGACTTCAGGTTTTTGATCATGGTTTGGTTTACAGGACACTGGGCCTGCTGACATTGGATGGGAAGACCCTGTCCCACATGGGAAAAAAGGTACTAGGGCAGGAATTAGCTGGAGTCCTTGATAGGGCTTTAAACTAGGTTGGGAGGGGGTGGGGGATAAAGCCAGGCTTACTACAGATGAGCCTAGGGGTGGTGTGGTGGTCAGCTAGTCAGGCAACCTTACTGGAGGCCCAGCTTAAATGCCTTTATATGAATGCACACAGCATGGAGAATAAACAGGAGGAGTTAGAGATGAGGGTGAGCCTGCATGGCTATGATGTCATTGGCATCACTGAGACCTGGTGGGATGGCTTCTATGACTGAAGCATCAGAATGGAGGGTTATGAACTCTTTAAGAAGGACAGACAGGGGAAATGGGGTGGGGGTGTTGCCCTCTATGTCCAAGACCAGCTGGAGTGCATGGAGCTCTCCCTAGGGACGGATGAGAAGCCAACAGAGAGTTTATGGGTTAAAATTAAGGGGAAGAAAGGCCAAGGTGACAATAGAAATACAGGGGAGAAACATCACAGAAATTCAAGTGCACAATCCTTAGCTCACTCACTGACCACAAAAAAACAGTCTGTTGTCTCTGCCTGTGACCTGGAGTTGTTGCTGGCTGTTCTGTAACAAAGTTTTAACAAAAAAACTTACATCAGTCTGTCAGTAAATACTTACACTGTGCAAAGTTTATGCACAGTATAAAGCCATTTTTAGAATTCACTGTTCTCTTATTCCCCTCTGGTTGCTGCTTGAAGCATGAGCGAGGAGTGTGGAGTGATGTGTTCACAGCTCACAGCTGAGTTTTACTAAAACTTGAGACAGTGCTTGGAAGCTGGTACTGTTGCTGAGTGTGATGTAGCTATTTGATAGAGAGCAAAGCAGGGCAGCTTCCAGTAATTTCATTTTATTTTGCTGTTCCAGTGCTGTTCAGAAAATTATCAGGAGGCCTGACTTAATTTTTACCTCAATAGGAAAACTTGTTAAAAATGGTGGGCAAATTATTAAAAAGAGAACACATTCCCAGAAAAAAAAAAAGTTCTGAAAAGGATAAAGGATAATCCCTGTTTTTCCAAAGTTCTAACCCTATAAAATAACTCTGTAAAAATATTTTGGTTTTAACATGCAATGAAAACAATTCCCTCATACCTCATGTCCTAGTCTTTCACTAGACAACTGCGAAGAGTGAAGCTATAAAATGAAAATGATGATATACAATGTTAAGTAGTACTTTGTTCATTCCCTAAATTTTCAGTAGGTATTCAGCCCATGTACTTGCTAATAGAAACACTTTAATAGAACTTTTTAAAACTTAAAGAAATTTTCTCAGAATATTGGTTATGCTGCCATGTACTGTTATAAAAAGTCAGTCTGTGTATATGTATTTAGGGAGGGGGATCATGCATTGTCATTATTATGTTGATTGTGCAAGAACTTAATTTAAGTAATGGCAATAGCTGTGGGAATGCATTACTCTGCTATCAGAGACAGGCTGAGTGATTGTTTTATATGGATGCAAATTGGAGCATAGGAGGTTCAAGATGAATATCTGAAAACATTTTTTTACTGTAAGAGTGACAGAGCCCTGGAACAGGCTGCCCAGGGAGGGTGTGGAGTCTCCTTCACTGGAGACATTCAAAACCCACCTGGATGCGTTCCTATGTGATGTACTCTAGGTGACCCTGCTCTGGCAGGGGGGGTTGGACTAGATGATCTTTCGAGGTCCCTTCCAACCCCTAGGATTCTATGATTCTATGATTCTATGATATGGATTCCAGTCCATTAGTTCATCTCTGTGAATGACCAATTATGATTAATCTTTCCAAATATAATTTATTTTATAAATCCTGATGGAGAGCACAGCAGGGGAACTGAAGAGCTGTCATGCCAATGAAGTCACTGATGCGGTTACAATATATCTGCAAATAATTTAATCCACTTGTTGCCTGTGTTGAAGGCATGAATTCCAGTGCTCTCACTTTTAAAATCCTTTATTTAAGGCCACTATTCCTTGTCTCATGCATATATTTAGAGTTCTAATAGGTGCTGTTTTTCAAGTATTCAAGGGATTTAATTGGACCCTTCATAGAATATATTAAAAGCCAGCTTTTCTCTTCAGAAACCTTTAGTTTTAGAGGACGTGATTATTTTACTTAGTCATTATGATAACAGGTGCTGAAGTTCTGAGGTTCAAGTCAGCTTTTAATAATTTTCTTTCCATTCTTGCTTTTTCAAACTGTTCTAGAAAGTGTTTCCTACCTTAGTGTTTACAGTCAGACCCCAGGCACCCTCCACTATTTGCTTCCCTTTCATCACTGGCTGAAAGGGCAGTATTGGTAATAGCACAGTTAATTGACCATCAAAATCTTTTTCTGCTTATACTCTGTAGGAAAAGTAATTTCGTACCTTTGAAAATACACTTTTGGGTAAGAGACAACGTGGATGCAAAGATTGTAATGGTAATGTTGGCTTTTAATGGATAATGTTAGTAAGTGAAATGCTGGTATTTTGAAATGCTTTCATAATTTCTGGAAATTAGTCCAATAATTTCTGGAAATTAGTGCAATAATTTCACTTTGGAACAAATTATGCGAAGCATACTATATAGTTTTAGATGATAATTCTTAATAAGTTTTCTCTCCATTCACATTCCAAATGATCTTTAAACTGTTACAAGGCAATAGCAGTGATAGTACTAGTCAAAATGCATTTTGCTTCCTTAAGACAGGCTAGTATTCTGCTTGCTTTAAAAAAACTATGTAACAGTAAAAAAAAACATACCACCACCTTTGGTTTCACAGGGGGCATTGCACATCATACCTTGAAGCTGTGTGTTCATGTCTACCATTCTGCCAGCTGAAACTTGCCATAGAAAGTTCTGCACTCGTCTCTTATGAGTCTGAGGGTATATGAATGAGAAGATGATCTGATCTTTCCTTCCATATATCCTCTGCTGTAACAAGTTTTTATGTGTATTATGTGGGGAAAAACCACTTTCATACCCTGACAGTGTCCTGAAAGAAAGTGAACATCAGTGTTCTTAAGTATTTGCAGAAGAGTTATTGCTTCAGGATCCAATATGCTGCACTCTGCTATTGCTGCAGTGTGGTAGCAATACACCACTGTTCAAACATACTCACAGTGTTAGGAAACAAACTGAGCAATTGAAGATGTGCTCATCATTGTGAGTTAGAAGTCCATGTTTAGGTACCTTTTTTTTTTTTTCAAATTTGAAAGGCTGAATGCATCTTAGTAGGAAAAAAAAAACAAACAGAAATAAAAAGCAGAAGAGCTGCCTTAATAATGAAGAAAAGTTAGGCTAAGAAAAAGAATGTTATAAGAAAGACACAACCATGGCACTGCAACAAACTGAACTGGAAATAGTCAAATCAGCTCTTAAGCAATCCATGGTCTTGTTAGATCAGGCAATACTTAAAAGGGAAAAGATGGAAAGAAAACAAGTGGGGAAAGTCTGCATTTGTCACAAAAAATTATTGATTTGAAACTCAAATTATTCAATGTGAACATGTCTATCAGCACTACTCTCAAAGATGCATGAACCTTAATGTGCTTAAAAGTACAGCAAGATTCACTTTTCTTTCAGTAGAATGAGAATTTGGCCTAAGAGTAGCTAATGGTTTGCTAGGCCATTGTTCAAATCAGTAGTTTAGCTCTGTAAAGGCTAAACATTTGGGCTTAGTTTCCACGTATCACACACAATATATGGCACTACATGTGGAGCAAGAAGTTAAAATCCAAAAGTTACCTTTATTTAATGCTGGACAGCTACAAAAAGAACAGCTAGTGAACATAGAAAACAACTTGTCAAACTTCATCAGTTTTGTTTTGTTTTTTTTTATTGCAGTAGACCTCTTATTACTTTTATTTCAAGTGACTTGGTGTTTCTGACAGAACATACTGTGATACTTTGCAACACAACCACAGATTATGTTGTCAGATTCACTTAGAGTTAATGGAACAGTACCTTTCTCTTAGCTTTGAGCTGCTCATGATACTTGTTGGATGTGTCGCCTGGTATTTCTCCTCCCCAGAGCGTAATTCCCACTATGGAATAAGTGATGCCCATGACAAGCAGTGGAAAGCAGTAGACCAGAACAATCACAATGATATGATACCTGCAATGAAAAAGCATTAAGCTGATAAGTGCTTTCAGAAGAGCTATACCAATGGGATGGGCTGCTAGCAGTCAAAATTGCTACTGTAGCACAAAACATGTTTTACATTGACTGGCTAGTCCTTGGTGTTTTCACTGTCTTTTTGGAAGTCTTGAATTGCGCTGTAAATTTATTTACATCTTAATGCAAGTCATTTATGGCATTTCTAGTTCTGATTCTGAACTTGTGCTAGCACAAATTAAGAATGACTCTAAGTTTTCATTATTGGAGACCGTACAGTAAGATGTGTTTGTCCATAACTAGCTGATTTAATTTTATTTAACTTAAATAATTGGTTTAATTATTCCACAGCCAAGTATCCTAAGGGCAAGCTAGGTATTTTGAACTCTAGTCTGGACCATAAATGAAAGAGAAAAATAAATATTTAAGTGGTATATTTATACAAAGGCCCTGATAAGTGTCCTGTGTTACCCCACATACTTCATATGGCACATCTGTTGCACACTGAAAAGGCAGATCTGTTGCCTATGTGCAACGCAGTCATTGCTGCTGATGGTAAGCACTGGGAAAAAATCCAAACAAACAGTAACTTCTTTTGCCTCCTGTTAGTTCCTGGTTAATTGCCATCTTCAAATAAAATCCCAGTGAATGATCAGTGAAGAGTCTTCAGCTGCCAATGAGAGTAACCTTAGTGCCCTAAAGAGGGCTCCTAAAGTTATAAAAATGATATATGTCCAGTGCCTCTCTCACCTGCCTGAAAGAGAGCAAAAGGTCAAATTTGATGCTGGATGGTTACACAAGCTTTCAGCCTGGCACACAGGGTTCATCTTAAAAGGGAATGAAGACATAAAAAGGCAGATAATATTTCTGTGGATAGATTTGTGATTCTGCCAGAGGGACAAAAAAGGTATATTTATTTGGCTGTTATTTTACAATTCCGGAAACTGGAACCAGTTACAGGTTTTACAGTTTTATTATTTGGATTGATACTTGAGATAAGTAATTGTGATACTGTAACAGAGTGAAGTAGGAAAATCCACCCCTCTCTTGAAGGGATCCAGAGAAAAAAATCTTATCAGGACGAGGAGAGGCTGGAAATACTTGTTTTCCTGGTTAGACTGGAAAGGAAGATTGCTTTGAATTGCATGTTCTGTCTCCATTTCAGACCTCTCTGTCTATATAGAAGCAGCCATCTTAAGTGAAGAAGTGGTTGTAAAACATGCAGCATGGGATGGAAAATGTTCATAGAAGTGGAAGAGAATGAAAGTATTCCACTTATCACTTAAAATGCTCTGTCTTCCAACTTAGAAAACTTGTTTTACATTTCTCAATGGTCAGTGCTGTTGGCTATTCTGCATGTAGAGCATCTGCATGATCAACAGCTTTTGCAAAGTCTATCGCAAGTGTAGGCACCACCATGCACAAGTTTAAAAGAACAAAAGCTTACGTAAAATGCTGTTTTGGACCACCTGGCCATGCTACATAGCAAAGAGTTCTTCCAGGCATCACCTTGGTTATGGAGTATAGGCACTGGGGAAAGGCCAAAAGGAAAGCCAGAATCCATATGCTCCCAATAACCACCTTGGTAGCAGCTGCAGAGAGCCTAGGTTTCAAAGGATCAATAATGGCCATGTATCTGTAAAAGAAAGCAAAAACCTGTGCATAAGAAACCTTCAGAGATTAGTATGTATCTATAATCAACTAAAGCTTAGGATTTGGAGGAGGATATAAGCAGAGATCATAGAATCATAGAGTAAGTTGGTTTGGAAGAGACCATCTAGATCTAATCCCCATGCGTTGGCAGAGACACCTTCCACTTAGACCAGGTTGCTCAGAGCCCCATCCAACCTGGCCTTGATTGAACACTTGCAAGGAGGGGGCTCCCACAACTTCACTCGGCAACCTGTTCCAGTGTCTCATCACCCTCATAATGAGGAATTTCCTATTAATGTCTAATCTAAATCTCCCCTCTTTAATCCATTAGCCCTCTCTTCTTACTACCCACCCTAGTAAAAAGTCCCTCCTCAGCTTTCTTATCTTCCTGGAGTTCTGATGGCACTATGCTCTTTGGGCAATTTAGCTGTTATGAAGGCAATGCTGAAAAAAAAAGAAGAATCATTCAATATTATTTTAAACGTGTAGCACACCCACTTAACCATTATGTATACTAGTAGAGCAACTGTTCCTCAAAGAGTTAGTTAATCCTGTTACTGCACAACCTGATTGAAAAGAACAATAAAGCTGGATCCTTTGTTACTCTGCTACATAATACAGGGTTTATCTCTAATTAAAAATATTAAAAGCCAAGCTGTCAGGTTTGTTAGTCATCTTGTAAAAAGTGACAGGAAGCTGGTAAGTCTGCATGCATTTGTTTCAGTAGACAAAGATGGACTTTGGATCATCTGCTAAAGAGCTTCAAACTGCAACTGGTTCACACAGAGATTGAGAGAGGAACCAGATGAGCATTTCCTTGGGCAACATAGAAGCAATAAAAGCACAAAGAGAAACAGATACATAAAGCATGAAAACATCTCATTTGTTTTTTCATTTCCTGTGTTCTCAGTTAGGATAGCATTCTTCTTACTAGATTTTATTGGCAACCCACATATGCTGATAACTTGAGTACATGCAAAAAAATAATTTTAAAGTTTACTCTAAGTAATTACTATTTAAAAGCTTAGGAGAAAAAGAGCAACAGTAAAAGAAAAACAAGTCTTTTTTTCTGTCTTTTGACCTCTGTTACAGATGCAAGGAACAAGGAAGACTGCATTGTTTTATTTTATATGTTCCCTATCACATACTTATGTGTTTTTCACATATTTCTTAGCAAGACAACTGCTTTGATTTCCAGGCTAAACCCTGGATTAATGTATTTTCCACCAGCTTCCCTGATCACAGTATTTTGTTTCATTTAACAATTACCAAGTAATGACTTACAAAATCATTAATCATATTGATTAAACAGAAAAACTATGCAACTTTCTTCCACTATTAGGGGGAATACCAAGAATCAGCCAGAATCACATTTAAAGAAATTTGTGTAGTTTTGCAAACCCAGTGAGATACTGGCTGTATATATGTCTATGTAGTGTTACTAATACAGCATACTGAATAACTAACTACATGTTCTTTAATCTAACATCCTAATGTTTTTCAAAACAACACAAGGAAATGTTTTTTACATTAATATTTTGTTCCAGATTCAGAGGGTTCCCAAAATGCATGGAAAAATCCTTTTATTGAAACACAATGCTGTTTGTGAATTAATATAGGAGTTAACAGATCAGCAACTTAAATAAAACATTTCCATGGAAGAATTCAGTGTATCTGTACTTATTCAGGAAACTGAAAATCTGCCCTTCTGTAGTAATTGATATAATTGACGTTCTACACCATGTTCCCCAAATAATTGCTTTTCTGAAATCAGAATTAGAATAGCAATGATTTAGGACCTCCTCAGGAATAACTAGGGCAAGTTAAAAGAAAATTAACAATATTAAAATATGTTTTTCTGTGTTTCCTTGTGGTTTAGGTGTGGGGGTTGTTTGTTTATTTGTTTTTAAATTTTATTTTATTTTTATTGTTTTATATGGAAACACCTGAAGCAGATAGAAAACTAGAATGGACATGGAAACCAGCTTGAATGTTTTTTTAATGAGAGTTTTCCAAATTTCTAGGAGAATGTTAGGATAAGTTTCAAATCTGGACTTGAATTGAAATCCATTGAAATAAATTAATAAGCTGCCATTGATTTGAAAAAAAATCCTTTTTTAGGTGAATAAGTTCTGTTCTGCTGCAATGAGAAGAGCAGCACTCATTTGAAAAGTAGGAAGGTGCATCATGTCCTAATTGTTACAATACACACTTAGATTCTAGGCAGACTTGACCAAAATCTTTAGGTACAGATGTTAACTGCAAGATGATAATATTCACAAGAGAATTCTCCTGAAAAGAATTTGTGCAAGTGCATCCATATTTATCTGCTACGGTAAACAAATTTAATTTCAGATATTCCTACTTTTTGAAATTTCATACTGGAAAGATAGGTAATTACAGAGTAGGTATTTGTTTTAGCAAACTTAACTCCTTTTATAGTTAACTATCAAATACATGATAAATCCAAAATCTACCATCATAGTGGTACTGTGTGGGACTCTAGCTCTACTATACATGATAACTGTCCTAATGCCTTCAAATATATAAATGCTCTCAGAAACAAAGTGATCTAAGAGATCTGCAGTTCCGGATATAAATTTCTGTATCTACAATTTCAAGCCTATTAATTCTGCATTTTTTAACTGCACTTACACAATTTTTCCCCACAAGGTAATGAATTCCCCTCTTCTTTGCCTGCTTCCCCCCCTCAGCTAAGCGGATGCTTTTGTTATTACGTACTAACCATGAAATAACTTTATTCAAGTCTTGTACCGAGAGAGCAGCAGATCTCAAGAAAATACATATCAGATGGATTGTTGCCCTCTACCCCTTAGTTCCCTTCCTCTCTGAAGAGTAAGTACAGCTTGGTAATGAAGATAAGTTTGTAGTCATGAGTCCTGTCTTTCAGATTGAGCTAGCTTGAGTGTGGGCTTCTGGATACTGTCTAAAATACGTGATGATCTTTACCTGTAGTAGGTGATAACCCATTACATAATAAATCATTTTCACATGCTTGTCGGACTCTTAAGAGATCTTCTCCTAGCCTGGAATAATTCCTTTCAATTGCTAGTTTTCTTCTGATTGCACGTTGACAGTGTTTTATGTGCTGTCGTCAGATTTGTATTACATTCACATTATTCTTATTCCCAGTTATATTATTCTTATTCCCAGTAGGTACCAGCAGTAATTCTTTTTGGCTGAGAAAAAATTATGTTGTTTTATTTCCCTGTCTGGTGACTGCCCTTTAAATATGTGGGTTGTTTGTGTGAAATGACTCATACACCTGTACTGATGGAAATCTTACCAAATGGCTGCCTGAATGAGGTAAGTCAAAGGACTAGGATCAGACTAAAAGCAGGAAACTTGTCTTTCGTGTTGAAATTTGAGTGATAAGCCAGCAGCCTCGATTTTTGCACAAGACAGATTGAAAAATATAGCAGGCAGTCATTCTAACAAACAAGATGGGGAGGAGGTGGAGAAGCCTTGACTATTCCCTTTGTCCCATGTCTTTGTCCAGGTAGGACTTAGCTGACCAGAGAATATTGACAGTTCTCTACTACTGAGCCTTGGATAACAAAGCACATTTTTTCTTGTATGCCAGTACACTGACAATTACAATTAACTATCTAACTTGTTCCCTAAGACATTTTTCATAGAAACAAAATTGCTTAATTAACATGGTGGGATATTGCTTTATAGCTGCAATTGTGACACTCATCATATAAGTTTGGTAGCATTTTCCTAGAGAAGCTGTCATTGCCATAACTAAAGATAGTGGAAAAATTGGGATGACTCTCCACTGCTTGTTAAAAACCAGCTCTGCAGTTGAGCTGTCTCTGGATGTTAATCTCTGAAGCCAAAAGAAGCCCAGAAAAGAACTGAGTCCTTCCTGAACTGTTATCTGTCATTTGCAAAGCAGGCTTAACCACTCCTGCCTGTAATTTTGTTTGCTGGAAACAGCAAACTGGTACCTAACAGTTGTAAGTTTTTTGTCTACCTCTTTAGCCTCAACCTGGAGGAGTAGTAGCTAATTTTTCAGCTGGCCTTTGCCTTTGATTTCTGTCTGTTTTGGCCAGACTGTTTCTATCAGGAATGAAAGCTTTTGCTAGCACAGGCTAGATGTTCCATACTTAAGTGTTGCCCAGAAAATTAAGGAGGTGAGGAGGCTAAGTGTGGGATAATGTGTATGCTGCAGGATATTACCTCTATATTCTAATTACCCACATCTGACAACTGTCTGTCATCTTTCATGGAGTAGCTCTGTCATTTCCTTACTGTTTGATATCCTTATGTATGTTTTTTATGGTAAAGTGCCAGTTATAAGGGGGAGCAGTGGAATTGTGTAACGAATGGTGATGAACGTTGTGTAGAAAAAAGAGGTTTGTGTGAGTAGGCCAGGAATGAAAGGGAGAATGATGAGCTACAGGATCTGGAGCAAAAGCAAAAGAACTGAGACTGGGAAACAGTTTTCTGAATGCAAAAATAAGAATAGAAGTGAAGCAAGAATGATGAGAAACTAAAAGGAGGAGAAGCAAAGAAAGGAGAATTATAGAATAATATCAGATAGAAATTGGGTTGACGGAGGAGACAGTAAGGAAGTGGGGTCATGTAAAGGCAAAAGACATGAGAAAAATCAGTTCTAGTGGACCAGAGATTCCAAAGTAAGTAGAACTGATAGAAAAGCAAAATGTTTTGACAGCAGGGCTCTGTAGTGGCAAGCCCTTTTGCCCCTGCAGGTGTATGGGAGGGAACTCTCAAAACTTGTTCTGTCTGTGATCAGCCAGCCATAAGCTGCATGCAGGGGGAACAGATAGACTACTCTGGTGCTCTGATGTCATCTTTCTTAATGACCGTTTAGATTCTCCACTGTTCTTTCTAGTGGCCTGAGCTTATGCAGTCCTTCTGAAGTCAGTGATAGTGGGGAGTGCTGAGGCCTTCGTAGGTCTGACATGTTCTGTCATATTTATGCATAGGCGTTGG